CCCTAGGTAGTCTTTCTACTTTTAGTAAAGTATAATAAGTTATCTGTTATAAAGGCAGCTTTATGCTTTCTTATATATATTAGATAATTTAACATTATATGTTTTTAAAAGCGCTTTATTATTTTTTTTTAATTTATGTTTAGTGTAAACTGTCTGCTTTCCTAAAAGGTTATAAACTAATAAGGGGCAACTTTATTTATAGTAGTTAGAAAGTCCTTTGCTACAGCATTAAACTGCGTTGTTTCTAGAACATTTTGTGTCTCCGCTTCTGTGGCAGCGTAGTCATACTCTGCTAGCTACAGGTCCTATATGCTCGCGTTTCTTAGCAGCTTTAAGGATGCATTATATTAGTCACACGCGCGTTCTTGTTTAAATTAGTTGTTAACGCCTACTGTAGCTTTAAGGTTTGTAATCTACTATCTAAGTAGTTAATCTAGAGAACAGCATGTACACTGCAGATGCAGGCTGACTGTTAACTAGATAAAGACAATAATCTGTTAGAAGCTTAATTACTCTTTTTTATAATTATGTCTGTTACTCTTGTACTTGTTAGCCTTAATCTTATAGTATTTAATGGCTTCTTTAAAGGCTCTAACACTGCTTGTTGATAGCTTGTTCAGGTGCGTAGGCGTTTCAACGTTAGAGGCTGGTAAAAACTCAGCTATTAGCGGCATCTTTAGAGCTCTTGGTTTGGAGATCATTTGGATGGTCAACTTAGGATCCACTTGCGGCCAGATGCTGTGCGCTACACATCTCGATTGCAGCTGCATCATCCAGGCTCTGTAGTCGGTGTGGTCTCGAAGGACGACTGTCGCGTCTCGAGGAGGCTGGGTGGCCATTTTGTATCGATGGAGGCACTGAGACTCTTAATTGTCAGATTAAAGCACTGTTTCTGGGCTTCCTAAGATGAATGATGGGTTTGGATATGATGTATGGGATGATTAATTAATTGTATTTGATTGTGTTCATTTTTCAATCCTTTTTCTGCTCTACTCGTGTTGCTCGGCTTTTTGTTTTGCCGATCCGAGTCCCTCGCGCACTTGCCCTATGCGCGACCAGCTTGCAAAATGCTGCAATTTTCTGCAATTTGCTGCAAACTGCTGCAACATGCTGCAAAATGCTGCAATTTGCTGCAACATGCTGCAAAATGCTGCAATTTACAGCAACATACTGTTCGAGCTTATTGCTCGTACTATGTAGCAGCTTTCGTCAAGCGTTCCTCCTGTCTTGACAGTAGGTGCGCAAATCTGACAACTATAAATTAATTTAAGTTAATAATATTCTTATCTATTAGTAAGTTAATTAAGGCTGTTACATTATAGTTAAGTTAAGAGTAGGTATATAGTAACTAAAAGTGTTTAGAGGGGAATTAGTCTATGTTTCCTTTAAGTTTATATTAGAGCTTGTGTAGAAAGGAAAGTAGGTCTTTTTATTTTCTATTAAATAGTAGGGGATTAGGGAGTTAGTTAGATTTTATTACTAAGTTAAAAAGGTTACAAGTTATAAGCAGTGTTAGGCAGGAAAGAGTTAAGCTATCTCTAGACTTCTAGGTAAGCTTTAAGGCTAGTAAGTTCTTAGTTCCTACTACTATAATAAAAGTTAAGGTAAAAACAAACTACTTAATAACATAAAGCTGTTCTTTAAAGTCCTTTTAAAAAGCTTTAAAGCTTATAATGTAGTAGCTTTCTTATAAAGTAAGCGCTTTTTAAAAGGCTTCTTAGCTTACTTTAATAGCTTAGAGTTGTGCAAGTACTAAGCTTATTAGATTAAATTTAGAGGCTATTCTTAGCTAAAGTTTTAATATAATATAATGTTATAATTATGCACAAGTAAGGTTATAGAGCTTTATAAAGGTCTAGTTTAATTACTACATAAGGTATTATAGTAAGTACAAGACATTATGTAAAAAATAGAAAGGTTTAGAAGAAAATTAGTAATTAAATACTTAGCTTAAAAGTCTAAGCACTTTAAGTATAAATTAAGCCTGTTCTAGGTTTAGTTAGTGTTAAAGCAGTTTATGCTTAAGTTTATGTCTGTGTTATGTTGTGTTTATGTCAGACGTGCACTAATAATACTCTAGTACGCGTCTAATACAGTTATGTCTAGGATCTAGGGAGGATACCGTGACAGCTAGTTTAACTTTATAAAAAATATTAAAGCTAAGTATAGTATCTAAAATAATAATATGTATAACTTTAATAAAATATAGTTTATAATAAGCTAGATATTTACTAGAGCAGTTATTATAAGTTTAAAGAAATAAGGACAGCTAAAAGCAGTCTAGCTAGGTAACTAGAAGTAGACAACAGCTATCTAGGGCATTAATGCTAAAAGGTAGGCTATTTTACTTTTTATTATTTTTTAAGGTAGCAACTACTTTTTAAACTAGTATAAAAAAATCTACTTTAAAATTAAGTTATTATAATTTCTAAGCGCAGCTAGACTACTAATTAGCTTAGTTTAGACTAGTTAAAGCACTTTAACGTGTATATAAAAAAGTGTACTATTAGTAGCTACTATCTACTAGTTATTAACAGCTATAAAAGCTATAACTTACTTTATTTTTAGTAATACTATAAAAATAATAAAATTATTACTATTTATATACTTTTTTACTTATTACACTTTCTATAGCTACTTAATATAGGTTGTTTTACTTTTTTTAAAAAGGTGTATAAGCACTAAGCTAAAAACCTTATATGCAACTAGATTACTTATATTATAAAAATAAAGTTTTTACTATGCTTTAAAGTAGCTTATAATGCTATAATTACTTTTAGTAATATTTAAAAAAAGCTTTAAAGCGCTAGATTAGTTCTTTTTAACCTATAATAAGTTATAATAGGCTTTAATATAAAGTTATGCACTTTATTACTACTACTACTTATATATAATAAGCCTTAGTAGTTATAAACTCTAAGTAATACTCTAGAACTTAGGTTATAATTAATGCTTATAAAAATAAAAATTTAGAAGCATATAAATAGTTTACTAACTTTTATAGTTAAAGTGTTTAAAAAAGTTTTAAAAAAAGCAGTAATAATTACATATAAGCTAGTGTTAGCATAATAAAAAATTACTAAGCTTTAAGTAGCTAATAAGGCTGCTACATAATATAAATTACATAAAAAAATTAATTAAAGTAGAAAAAACTTTAATAATTTAGAAAAGCTTATACTTAACAGCTTTAAAGAAGTTTAGAGCGCGCAGTAACAGAAAAAAGGTAAAGAAGCAGGTGTAAGCTAAAGTAGGTAAGCTTTTCTAAAGGCGCTGCAGATAGTGTAATTAGACTAGGCATAACACACAAACATGTAAGTAAGAAGTAGAAGTAGTATCTAAATAATATTCTAGGCTGTACTGTACTATATAGTGCTAGAGCGGGTTGTTATAGGCTATAATAGAGTTTGTTAGGGTGGGGTCTTGGCAAAAGTAAGCAACTCGGGTGTGTGAGCAACTCGCCTATGAAGTACGTTACTATAACTTTACTAATAGCTAGCGCTTTACTTTTTAGGCTATTAGAAAGGCAGCTAGGCTACATGCCTTATGTTATGTTAACTGTGAAGCTATGTAAAGCACTAGAGATATAAGGAACTGCATTAAATGTATTGCTAGAGGAGTCCTTTGCAGGAGTCTATATATATGCGAAATAAGTGGGTGGGTCTTGGCAACAGACTATAGTGCTGATGCATCTGCTGATGCATCCAACCATTGTGTGACAACACATCCGACACATCCGACTATTGTGTGACTATGCTGACGATGCATCTAAGTGTCATCATTACAAACATTAACTTTAAGGCTTTAAATGTTTAATAGTTATTAAATCTAAAGGCGTAGATAAACTATATAGTTATAAAGAACTAGCTATAGGCCTTTTATTAGTAGATTAGGCTTAGGACTATTCTACTACTTATAAATAACTATAGCGCTTATATATTAAAGGTTAATTTAATGCTACCTTTACTAAATATCTAGATTTAATAGCTACTAGTAAATTTTACTAGTATTTATTAGCTACTTAATTAAGGTGTTATTAGTTAATTTAAGCGCTGCTATAAGAAGTAATAGATACACTATATAGTCTTTAGCTATAAGTAAGGCGCTAATCTAGCTACTAAAGTTAACCTTTACTATGCCTTACACTAGGCCTTTTAAGCCTAGTATAATAACTTTTATAGTAATATAGTCTATTACTGCTTCTACTAAGCTAGAATCTAGCCTACATAGAAACTAATCTGTCTACCTAATTTAGAGAAATAGCCTTAGTAGAAGCTAGAGGAGCTATATAAATAGGTATAGCACGCTAGCAGAATCTAAAACGCTATAAGTCTTAAAAACTTCCTTAATTCTATTAATAAAAATAATAAGCCTAATTAATTTAACTTTAATATAGTAGACGCTATTATAAGGTTGTCAGATATGCGCACCTACTGTCAAGACAGGAGGAACGTTTGACGAAAGCTGCTACATAGTACGAGCAATAAGCTCGAACAGTATGTTGCTGCAAATTGCAGCATGTTGCAGCAAATTGCAGCATGTTGCAAGCTGGTCGCGCATAGGGCTAGTGCGCGAGGAACTCGGATCGGAAAAACAAAAGCCGAGCAACACGAGTAGAGCAGAAAAAGGATCGACAAATCAATAGAACCAATCAATCATCCCATACATCATATCCAAACCCATCATTCATCTCAGAAAGCCTAGAAACAGTGCTTCAATCTGACAAAGGTACAGCTAGCTACTAGCTGTAGTTAAAGAGAAATTAGAAGATAAAGAGGCTCTTATATAGATACTTACCCCTGCAAAGGCAGAGCAGGCTCTTAAGTTACTACTCTTATATTAAGAACATATAAATAAGATAACTTTTTAGTAGATAAAGACTTTACAGCAGCTGTATACTAAAGTAAAGGCTTAGAAATCTAAGTAGGCTGTCTAGGGCACCCTAGATAGTTAGCTTATGTAACTATTTTGCTATATTAATATTTTAATATAACGATATAATCCTAGCTCCCTGTTTGTATCGCGCCATCAAGAGTTGACTGTACTACCCCCGCACACGGCATCCCCTTCGCAAAGACATTGGCGTCGCGGACATGGGGTACGCTGCTGGGCCCCACGCTTTGCTGATCTGGTACAGAGATATCTGGCTCCTCCTGACATCCTTCAGGCTCTATGAATAAACATGCTGTTTCAACCATTCCGCCACTCCAGCATGCATCTTTTCCGACTTCGCTTTAAGAATCTTTGCTTCCTCGCCTCTAGCCAGAGACTAATTAAAGCCATGCTTAACGCCTTCTATCAACTCCCACCTTATATTCCCTTTCGTCCAACCATTTCTCCCATTCAAAAGCGGCGTCTTCTGGCCCCCCTCCGCAGTCGCAAGATCTTCCGCCATCGCCTCAGCTTCCTTGCAGAGCATATCGTACTCACACCCCAAGAGAGAGATCCTCTCAGGAAGGTCACCTCTCTTTGCAAATATAGGGGACAACAAAGGATCAGTTCAATCAACGCCAGGCTCTAGGTACCCTATGTTAAACATAGGCAATAACCAGGTCAAAAAATCCTTTCCGTCCGGCGCTTAGGTTGCAACGGCCATCTTTTCATCAATAGTAAGCGTGAAATTTGTAACTAGATAGTACGCAGCAACGCCCTAGATACGGCCCTTAACACCCGGCAGTTGCGTTGCCGTGAGTGCCAGATTCCCACCAGCGGAGTAACTGGCGACAGCAACTCAGGATTTGTCAACTAGCAAGCTCTCGTCATCAAGCACCGCCGCAATTGCAGCTGCGCAATCATAAACCGCAATTGGCCATTTGTACTTCGGACCTAGTCGGTACAGGATGCTGACGACGCAGAAGCCATGCGTATGTGCAAGAATCACGTTGTCGACGTCGTCGGACACGGGTTCTGCGATGCAGAATCCGCCGCCGTGGATGTCAATAAGGAGGGGTAAGGGCGCATCGCCAGGCTTGTAGGACTTGGGAATGAAGATGCGCAACTCCTTTGATCCGGCCAGACGGTATGATTTAGTAAATGTGGGCTTTTAGTGTAGCAGGCGTTTGCTAATGGATCAGCACTGGAAGCCAAGAACAGTGGAAACCAAAAGCTTGAAGAGCCACAGCTGCGCAAGGAGGCGCACGCGCGTTAGCAGCAGTAGTGGAGGTGATATTACGGGCTTTTTTAAGAGCTCCATGTTTGTGTGTCCGTCGCAGAGGTAGAGGTGAGGCGGTTGGAGTTTAAAGGTTACAGTCGATCGCGCCGCTAGGTGTTGATGCCAAGGTTCATTCTTAGAAACAGGGGATTGATAATAGCCAGTGCATAAATGATTCTAGATCTCTTAGTGCTGTATTACAGATCGCTACCGAAGACTCCATAGATTTCGTTGCATCCCCATAGTCTTCAAAGAAGTCAAGCACGATGGGAGCCAGGACAGCAGGTGTCTACTGTCTAAGCTATTGGCTGATTATATTGGAATTTCCGACTTTGTCTAATTACAGTCCTTCTTCTTTGACCCTTGCGCCCTAGAATTTTATGCTAGCACTCACATAGAATGAACTATGGGAGACTACATTGCACCGATACGACGCTGGGCAACCGATGCTCGATTGAAGGGAGTCTCTCAAAACGTGGTGGAAAATACGATCCGACTTGCTAGAGGTCGACTGAGCATCGCTATCGTTCTTCTGGAGCCTGTCGCTGATGAAGGATCGTATGAAGAATTGATGCGCCGGTGCGCAACACTCCGTGAAATTGACACCTTGATACAAGGCGCAAAACGCAGAAGGTATTTGCTTGAGGATGTCAGTATTCTTGATGTGAGGGTTCTGATCAGCGAAAGAAGAAGGCAGCGATTCGGCCTGGGTGATGATGTTCTGGAGGCAGCTTACGATGTCTTCCAAGAGGTCGTTGAGTTAAAGCAACCAAAAGTCCTTCTGAGTCTCTAATGTCAGACTAGCACAGCAAGGAACGAGCTTGCAAGGAAAGTGAGCTCTTACATTCATTCGGGTCTCCACCCTGAAAAACTGGAGATCGAGAAACACGAGACCATGTTGGTTCGAGGCTTCCACCCTAGCGTCTACTTGCACTATACTAGCAACTCCGTAGTTGCATCACGGCTGCGAAAACGACTGAAGTTGATAGTGGACTTTGTGTTTGGCAGTATTTGGGCCAGTCCTACCTGCGACGATGATTCTAAGGGCCGACCTCGCCTCCTCAAGTTTGCTATTGAGAGTGGATCCCATGTTCAGGTACAAGCCGGAATCAATCCTGTCCTGAAAGTACGATGAGCACTCCTTTTGATCTAGCTTTACTAACACCGTTATACAGCGCATTCATTACGGCCGGCTGTGCCGAAAAGAGCTAGCCGCAACAGATGGTGTGTCTGACTTGATTCACAATCTTGCGCATACGAACGTTCAAGGTGATCAACGAACGGGTGCACGACAGTGCATTTCTTGGCGTGGTGGACACCAAAAGACGTTTTTTCATCATCGCTGACCTCGTGAGGGAGGTATCGACGAGGGGAAGGGGAATGCTTCTGTTTTAGAATACCGACAGTCTGAACTTTGCTAGTTTCTCAGTCAGTCTCGTCCATCTCGCGGTTCAAGGGAGCCCTGAACCTGCGTACTAGGGATATACATTCCCATCACCTCAGGAATGCAACGTGAATACCTTAAGTTACAACCCGAATCACTTGCCTTCACAGTATGCGGCAGAGGCTCTAAAAGAGATTGCATCTTCTCCCCAGTTCGACAATGACCAAGAAGACGATGGCAAGCATCGCCAAAGGCTATTAGAGCTTGGAGAAATTGTACCTGGTACGACCACAGTGCTCAAGTTGAACAATACCGGGATCATTAATCATTCCCTTTAGGTAGCATACTAATTCGCTCTAAGAATGACAGCCCATTGTCACTCTACCCCTCTTACCTTCCATATTCGACACAGCATACCGTCTTAACAACCACCCAACGTATTCTTGAAGAGTGCTGTTTCGATTTTGTCAAACGTTGGCTGCCATCGATACTCCAAGACAATGGCTGGGACTGTGCTGCGGCAGTGGAGCTAACCAAGTGGACTCGTATCCTCGATAAGCACTCTGAAACCCTTCCAAATCATGCCTTAGCGGTGAGCGGAGGTTCCTTCCATGACATTCTCTTCTCCACGCACAAACTCCGGCATAGTGCGGTCCATCGGCTTCCCACCGCGGCTCGGGGGTTGAATCAGCTAATCGACTCTGCCCTGAGGCTGACAGAAGCCTTGCAAGATCATTTGCGCGTTGCACAGCTTGAAGAGCTTCATTTGGAGATTGGTAGCAAGATCAAGGCTATGGAGTTAAACAAAAATGCTTTAGAGGATGAACTCGCTAGCGAACTTCAAAAAATTTCTCGACAGCGTGAGGAGCTTGACGAGAAGGAACGATCCTTAAGAGCAAAAATGCTCTCTAGCGATTCGGAGAATATGCGGCTAATCAGATCTTTACTCGAAGAATCAGTGAGGGAAATCTTTCACGAGGGGTTTGAATGGCATTCTGCGGTGGAGGACAATGGAGATGACTCGGAAGACCATAATGATGTGGAACACGGACAGTTTCTTATAGAAGTCTCCAAGGAGTACTGAATGTTTAAACCCATAAGTTAGGTCCCCTCCATTTCAGTCACGCTCAGAACAAGCGAACCGGAAGAGCTACATGGAACCACCTATCGTATACCGTCGCATCGATCAAGGCTTTTCTCCAAGCAAAATTGCTCCACGAAAACCCGTTGTAATTTTCCAAAAGTGTGGAATGCCATCGTTACAGAATACATGATAATCATAGCATAGGCATAGGCGTAAGCAACCTCGTCAGCAGTACTACTAGTTAGCAGTATTACTGGTCAGCGACATTACTGGCCAGCGACATTACTGGTCAGCGACGTTGCTGGTCAGCAACATTACTGGCCAGCAGCATTACTTGTCCGCATTATTAACTTACTATTCAGCAGTATCACTAGTCAGCGGCGCGGGCAACCTAAATGACTCTAGTCGTTGAAGAGCCCGAACTCTCTAGATAATCTCTTGCTATCGGTTCCTCGCCTTATCTCTCTATGACTGCGCTCGTCCGAATTTCTCATCTTCTTCTTGTTGTCGATGCTGATTCTTATCCGTTTGGGCGTTAAGGGGAATGGTGGGCTAGGTTACATGCGCGGAGACGTTGAAGCAGGACGGGCCGATGGACAAGCCACAGAAGGCTAAGTACCGTGTTTCATCGCCTAACGCACGGCCCCTTGTAACGCACGGGTTTAAGATGTTACCCCTATTAACTTTTAAAGCTGTACAGCTTTATAAAGCTTATAAAATAAAGCAGTTCTCTAGAGTTATAAAAAAGCTTACTAATTAATTAATCTATTATACAAGAAACTTTTTAGAAAGGTTAATCTACCTACTATGTTAACTTTAGGCTAGAGTAGGCGCAGCAACCTCTATAACTAATTTATTTTTAATATAATCTTTTTCCTTATCTTTATTGCTAGTAACTAGTGTAGAGACTTTTTTTTTACTTTTATTAGCTAATTAAATGTCCTTTTAGAGTTGCGTAGTAGCTTTTTAAGTAAACTTTACTTTTTTTTTTAAGCTGCCTTAACATGCTGCTTTTAGAGTTAGATTTCTTTTACTACTACTTTTATACACTTCCTCTTTTTTAGCATACACGCTTTTTTTATTTTCTTTGCCTTTTAAGCTTTATTTTTTATTCTTTTTAAGTTATAAAGCCTTCTTATTAGCTTTTTTTTAAGCTTAGAAATTACATGCTTTACATACTTTATTTAGTAACTAAAAAACTACTTTACTATTATACTTAGGTAAGGCTTTAAGTAGGAAAGGCTTTTACACTAGTAGCAACACTTTTTATTAAAAAAAGCTTATTTAAAATATTTAACTTTATGCTAGAGCAAGTTATTATAATATAAAATTATATAAATAGTTTAACTAAGCTAGTGTAACTGCTTACTATAAATATTATTCATAACTTAGTGTAAAATTCTTTTAATCTTCTTCTAATTAAAAGCGCTTAGTACTAAAGTAGTACTATTACTAAAGAATAGCTAGTCTTTTTTTTAATGTTAAATTATACTAAAATTACTTCTAGATTAAATAAAGATAAACTATATGTTTTAAATGCCTTAAAAATAGTATTTAATTTAAATAATATTAGCTAGGCTTTATTAAACATGTAAAAAAAAGTTTTTTTTATAATAGTTAATAGTTCTTAGCACCTGTATATAAAATCTGCTAGCTTAGCTAAGTAGGTAGTTAATAGAAGCTTAAACATGCAGACATCTAGAGGCTGCAGAGTATAGGTTAAATAAGGTAGATAGATAGCTAAGAAGATCTTATTATTATTATAATACTTAATAAAATCTATAGTAACATGCAATTTATAGCTATCTAAGACTAATAGTTAATAGGAGTGTTAGGTCTTTTATTTTATTTCCTTATTAAACACCTATTTAAGCTATGTAAGGCCTAGCTTATTACTTGTCTACCTACTAAAAGATAAAAAGAAAAAGGCCTTATGTTTATTAGAGTTAAAGTTTTATAACTAGGTGTCTTATATGTTGCTTAAAACAGCCTAATAAATTAGTGCTAGTGTAAGAGAAGTCCTATTAGCTGTAACGGCGCAGGCAAGACAATAGGTCTGAACGCGGTGTGAATCCACTCAGAGGCATATAGGAGTGCGTGGGGACTCAGAAACCTGGGGTTTCTATTAACACCTATTAGCCTTGTACAAAAGGATATAGGAAAACTACTAAGCTAGCTATAAGAAGGGTGCGACTATATACTAATAGGAAAAGGGGTACAGCAGGGGGCAGGGTAGGGGTTAGACCTAATCTAGTACGTGTTTAGGCCTAATGCAACACGCAGTCTTCTTAGCTAGAATAAGGTTATTACCTTGTTACACTACTTCCCTTCCTGTAGGCTAATAGTCCTAATTAGCAATAGTTCTTTGCTACGCTTGCGTAATATCTAATACTAGCGCTATGCGTATACGCTCTCTCAAATAGTAATCTGTAATTATGTTAAGAACTGTCTATTATTAAAGCTTGCTATTGTGTAAACGTTAGGTCTCTAGCGTATATAAGGCTTTATCTAATTAAGTCTAGTTGTATGTATAGCATTACTATCTAGTAGCTATTATATATGCCTTTATGTATTCTAGTAAAGTAATGGCTTATAGTTTTTACTAAGACTACTAGCTTATGTAACTTTTTATACTATACAACTTTTATTGTAATGCTTACTAGCCTAAGAGCTTTTATAGTTATAGTAATATACACTTTTATAATAAGCTTAACACTTTATTTATAAAAATATAAAGCGCTTAATCTTTCCTTTACATAGTTATGCTAAAATTTAAGACTAAATTCTCTTAATTATATGTATTTAGCACTATTGCTATAAGGTCTAGCTACCTTGTAGTAACAGTATAGAGCTACAACGCTAGGTTGCTGCGTCTACCTATTATGTTACTAGTCTACATATTTAGCATTTTATTTTACTTATAATGTTTATGTTGTTATTTATCTTCTTTAGCTTCTTTAATAATTAACCTCTAGCTAGAAAAGCTTTTAGCATTACATTTAAGCTTATTACTATAAAGGCTATAGCTATGCATAACCTGTACAAACTAGCTCTGTTGCGCACTAGCTCTATAGGCTTACTAAGCACGTGCTGTACAAGCTGAGTACGCCTAGCGTCCAGCTATCCATGCGATAGCTCTCCGCCTAATATGGTATGTTAGAGAGCTAGGGAATCACGCGTACAGTTTAGGGAGCTGTCACTCACGCTCGCGCCTAACTACTAGCATAGCAATGCTTCTAGCAAATAGCAACTACTCTTAAGCTTTTTATATACAGACAACACTAGTAATAGTGTTTTAAAGTACTTATACTTTTTTTAACATAGTTTTTTTTTACTAAGGTTTTCTAGAGTTCAGTTACTAGAGATAGGTACTGCTTAGGTATAACCTGTACAGTTACTACCGCAGGTCTACCTATAGCTAGTACAAGCTTTGTAGCTAACTACATACTCTTTTTTCTTACTAGGTTTTTAATAAAGCTAGTTACACTACTTATGTACATAGAATTTAGCACTACCTATTCTTTTCTAGGTCTTAGGACAAGCTCTAAGAAGAGGGGAGGCTATGTCACAGTTATGTTACAGCTATCCAACCCCTAAGTACCCTAGGCTTGGCACGGAGTATATAGGCTCCTCGGCCTCTGTACCTCTGCCTCCGACCCTAAGGTTTACTCTCTCTCTTGTAGCTCTACTACACACCCCTATCTTGTATTCCCTCTCTGTGCCTCGTGCTTCCTGCTTGATACCTCTTATAGCAGGCGTGTACAGCCTACTTTTTAGCTTTAGAGATAGCCTACTAGGCTATTTAGTATAGCAATTTTAGGTGAATTGTAATAATATTATTATATACTAGCACAAGTTTAGTTTTTTAGTAAGAATTTAATTTTACCTAGGCGCTAGTATCGCACTAACAAGATTATTGTATTAATGTAAACTTCTCTATTAAGAGTCTATTGTACTTTACTAAATCTAATTAGAAATAGCTTATAAAAATAGTAGAATATAGCTAAAGGCTATCTTGATTACTTATTAAAATCTAACCTAGTTTAGACGTACAGTAGTAGGGCTATACTAATTCTTAGTTAAGCTAGTGTATAGTAAAGAAGGTTTGTAATTACTATATTATCTAAAAATTTATAAAAGTCTTTTAGACAGCTAGACAGAGGAAGCGTTTTCAAGCCCCAATTGGCTGGCTTCGTTAGTAGAGGTGCTAGTAGGGGTCCCCTTCTAGTCGCAGGGGGAGAGGGTTCTTAGGGTCTCCGAGCTTCTCTGCACAGTCGGCTGAGCACCTGAGATAAGGATACCATTAATAAGGATACCATTAGAAGGGTATTCGAGCTAAGCCGAAGAAGAGTACTCTGAAACTCCGTAGATGCTTCCTTTACATTCCGCAATGCCTATACGAATTGCGGTACCATTTGCCTCACAAACAGAAGAATATTATAGAATGAAGAGCCCAACGATAAAAATCACCATAGAAATGATCGACGACTGGCCTTCCACTCGTCTAACGGCCTCATTCCCAGTGTATAGCGGCCCGTTGTACCCGACCGTGCAGCTCACGCTAGCATTCCATCCCGCTGTCGTTCCATTGCTTCCTGGATAGCAATATGAGTACGTAGAATACGATGCTGTAGTAGGTATCGGGAAAGGTCCCGGCCCGGTCTCTGATCCCATTATCGTCGGACTTAGAACCGAAGGGTTTCCGGGATTTGCTGAAGGATTTCCTCCCGCTCCAGTCTCTGCGGGACCTCCTGTTGGCCCGGGATAGCTTGGATCTATGATGCCCGAGGAAGCGCTTGGTGCGAAAACTCCCGTTGGAGCTTCCGTACTGGTGGTCGGACTGGTCTGAATTGACTTCGTGAGAGGGCTTGAAAGAACGGCAGAGGGGCTAGTTGACGTGGGTGAGGTGGTTGGAGTTTGGGCAATCGCACTCGTCGTGAAAGGCCTACATGTTCCATCAAGGGCGTCAAGGACGAGTTTCAGGTAAGAGTCGGCGCATGAGGTATCCGTGCAACCATTTGAAAAGGGGATGAAGGAATTGCAGTTGCAAGCACCTAACGCAAAGTCAGTTCCTACAACCTCACCCCCAACGTGAAAGAATGGTATGAGAACTTACAGCTAAAATCTAGGATCTTACATCTACATCGTGCGAACGCTGTCGTTATGCAAGATTGCTGCGAAACATTAGACCTAGCTTAGTCCAGTAATTGGGGACTTCCTAATAAATGTTTGACTTACCGCACATACTGGTAACTTCCCAATCTGCTCTGCCGGGCTCTGCGCCGTGACCTCTTCTGCTGCAAACACTAGAAAGGCACATATCGTGTACAAAGAGTGTGCTTTCATCATTCTGTAACTAGAGAATCTACTTACTTCAGGTCGAGAGAAATCTCAGCCTTGTAACTTGTCTTCTGTCCAAGGAGCGATCGTTTTGAGCCTCTTCACAATCATCTTTGGTCTCGACTCAGCCTCCCTAACACGTTTTCATAGTGGCGAAACGCAGCGGCAAGGTTCATTTCAACACAGCTTGACGAGCACGAAACGTACTCGCCTACCCCCTTATGTCTCTCCTCTAGAACGCTGAGCAAATATGGCTCGGTTGGTTGGGGTCGAGCATGATGGGCTTGGCAATGGTCTGAGATACAGCTGATCGGCATTCACTCGCCGGATCTGGGGAAATTTGACGAGCAGGCTGGCGCTAAAGAAAAGAGGGGTTTAGAGAAGGACACTCTAGCCTTGTCGATTACACTTGGACCGCCTGAAATATTTCTTATGATTGCAAAATGGTGATCTCCTGTCGACTTTTGAAAGCGCGTTTCAGTCTAGCATTTTCTAATTTCAGCAATTTGGCCTCTTGTTCAACCATAAGTCGATTAAATACCAACATAGTGGTACGTACGGGAGCGATCTTCTCCACATGCTTCGCCGTTCCTTCCAGAGGATTGGAAAGCTTTGCGCTTGTAAAATTCCCTCCCGTGCCTCCGCCCCAGCCTCGCTTGGCATAACTTGCGATATCGCCATGTTGCTGCCTCCTAATTCAGCCTTTGCAGCCTTCAATAAACGGCCCCTTAGTGATGCAGGGGACAGGATTGACGTGATTGCTCCTGAGTCCACGCTGGGGGCCTGTGATGCAGCTGCAGGCATCCCGCTCCATGCTTGGCATTTAGACACGCGTTTGGGCTCCCTTCATGATGGTTAACATCTCCGAGGCCGAATGTTGGCCTACTCTCAAGATTCTGCGTTGATTAGTCTAATTTCTAACCTCCCTTGGAATTTCTCGAAATGGGGACTCTCATGTCTTTCAGCAATCTCAACTCTTTCCAGATCCTCACATTTCTCCTTCTGCTCTCTAAAGTAGCCTCACAAAAATGCGGCTCACTCGTAACGTATCGCCAGCATGCTGATCTCCTTCAGAATGCACCCAAATGTCTCCACGACGGTTGCACCGCTGGCCAAAATGCAAGCACAATCTCCTCTCCATGCTCTCAGTCCTCCCCTTGCTACGTATACTGGAACATGTTCGTCGAGCAATTTGACCAAAAGCACTCTTGGTGCAGCAACTGTGCCTCCGACCTTGCCTGTCGCATCGATGGTTGGCCGGTGCTGAATGCCACCGCTGTCTGTGATTCCACTCCCAACCAATTGCTCTTTGGTGGAGAGAAGAGTGGATGTTGCTTGAACGATGACGAGCCATTTCAACTTGCGAACTGGACGGGGAAACTCTGTAATGGGAGTGAGTGGAGGCAGCCATTTGATATCTGTGGAGGCATGGCTTGTAAAGATTGGCACGAATGGATAATGCCTTGGAACTGGACGGTTCAATCCTCCCTCGTCCCACCGGATCAGCAGAAATGTACGCCGCCGTCGAAATATCTCGGGGTATACGGCATCGAACAGTTCTTCTGGCTTTTCTGCTCTATCTTCGTTGGCTGTATCCGACTGTTACTTGCGCGACACGAAGAGGAAACCAACAATACAGTCGTAAGGTATTGGGCCATTTCATTCTGGCGTACCATCCGGTTCAAACAAAATGGTAAAAGAGTTGAGCTCGAAGGTGAACACTTGAGACCACCATGGACAGACAAACTAGCATGGGGATTCCCAGTGGTAATGGGTTTGTTCATGGCTGGGGCAGAACTAGGCTTCAATTTCCTCGCCGCATGGCTGGTTCAGAGAAAAGACGGGTACAACCACATCCCCATGTGGAAGCTGGCACTGCTCTTCTGCTGTCGTCCCCGGCTGTCGTGGCTTTCTTGTGTGCTAGCTCTCCTATCGAAAGATACACTCGTTAAGATATTCAGGTTTAGACCTGGCGGTGATGGTTTATGGGCTGCGAAGCTAGTTCTTTCGTCTGTGGCTGTAACATCCGCGGTCACGGAAGCTACCATGCAACTTCTTGGTGCCTATTTCCTCGGGCGAACCGCACAGATCGGAACGGAAAGAGGCTTCTACTACATCCACCACCTTCGGCCTAAACTTCATGGGAGAGACGCACGACATATGTATCTCGGAGCTCTCTTCTGGGTCATGGTGTGTATTCCTCTGTTGGCTGTATGGTTCGTGGTTGCACTCTTCTATACTCAAGTCTACCACAAAGTAGCAAGTTGGCGAAGAGACATCTTCCATTGGTTGCGACCCAAAGCAGAAAACCTCCCTAAGCCATTGGCACGAGGAGCGGTGATATGGGCTCTTGATAACATCAACCCAGATCCGACGGGTGCTCCACGGTCAAAGACGCAGCGTATGCCATCAATTCGAGGCGGCGATGGGCAAGTGATGCCAGCAGACTCGGACCAACCGATGCGTTTATATAATGACTCACCGTACGATCAACCAATGCCCTACGGTGGCCCTGGAACAGGAGATCTATTTGGTGACGATTCGCAACCTATGCCAGTACTCCGTACTAGTCCTTTACCCCGGAGTCCGTATTCTCCGCTCTCGCAACAAGATCTTGACGACCAGATTATGCCAATTCCTCGCGCTGCCTCGGGCTCAGGATACGTGCATACACCCGTGCACGGTTCAGGCAGCGTTCAACGCCGCGCACCAAGCGGAAGTGGAAATCAATATAGTTCGCTTCCGCAGCACGTCAATGAGGATGATGACGATGACCAAGCAATGGCCGTACCCTCAAGCTCCTCGCACCGCCGCCTCCACACTCCGGAAATGTCAGAGATCCACCGCCCGGGTAGAGCCCAGGACAGTCGCTATACTCCACTCTCTGTCACACCGGGGACTTATCAGTCCACGGACAACATTGTCCCACCCTCGACTAGTGGGTCAGGATCGGGTTCATCCCGCCGTCGTAGAGATTATCCGAAAGGAGTGACCCGGACGTTCGAGGAGTGGGAACCGCTAATTGTTTTCGCTGGGTTCTTTCTCGGCTTGCTGTCTTTTGCGAGCCAGTGGCTATTTTGGGATGGATTCGTAAAGGCAGCCGGGGATAAGTTTTGTCCGCCAAATGTATTGCATTTCGGAGGTGCTTGGTGGGCGGCGAGTTTACTTTGTAAGTTGAGCGATAAACCTCGACTTGAAAATACAGCTAATAAAGGATCAGATGTCGGATTCCCTTTCTTCGGGTACTAAGTATTGATGTATGAAAACCCCAATAAGTAGGCAATTTCGTGTCATAGGCGCTCGAGATAGTTTACGAGAGATGTATTGGAGTTTCTGGTTAAGTCCGTGGAGGGAGGCTCAGGATGCGGTCAACCTTGGAATACAGCTTGTTAATGCGTACCATAGAACATCACCAGGGAAGGCAGAATCTCGGGTTGTTACAAAAGGAAAAACGTTAAGATAGTATAATATAAAAATTTCCCCTTTGTCCGACCCTAATATATTTTGTTGCACTACGAAGCACTGAGTATTCAGAAAATTAGCATGATGATTAAGGCCCACTATTGGACCCATAAAAGACTACGGGGACAGTGCAAATGCAATAGAGCAAATGCATTTGAAGATGATATTGTATATGACAGAACTACAAGAGACAATCGATAGTACCAGCCGCCCCACCACCCCCAGCTTCAAACCCACGGACCTCTCGCCGGCCGAATCATTGGATTCTCACACACAACAACCTTCGCCTTACACAACACTCTCTTCGCCGCCGAGTACTCTTTTCCATTTGAGTTACCTTCTCGGAACAACGCAGGCTGAACAATTAATTCCACGCACGGGTCCGCAAACTTATTTGCACCGCCTTTGGCTTGTGCTGGACCATACACCTGGGTCATCTCCATATCTTTCCATCTGAAGCCATGAACTGGCGCTTCTTGCTGGGTATAGTCAGCCCACTGCTCACAGTAGATCCAGCCACGTTGCTGTTGTATCTCTGCATCAAGTGAAATAGCAGCGACGATAATCTCATGTAGCTCATCGCCGAAGACTTCCTCTGCTTTCGCGCGTTCGGATTCCTTGCGGGCTATGAAAGGGGCTACTGTGTTTGTGACCTCAGTGATGAGATCATTGACGTGAGAATGTACGATTCTATGTTTCGTTGCTTTCATGGAAATGAGCATGATCGCGGTTGTTGAGCGCCACTTGTGGAAGTTCTGGGCTTCAGCTTCCTGGCGTTTAGCCTCGCTCACGTCGTCCCTTGACCGGTCTCTTCGTCTTAAGGGCCGTAACTCTCCCTTTAGATTGGCCAAAGAATCACGCATACCGCCTGCCCAATATAGTCCTTCGGAGAACTTGCTGGCATGATCGAAAACCTTGTTATTGAGAATCCACCAAATGAAGGCTTGGATAAGAAGTGGTCGGTAGTTTTCCGAGCTGATGTATTGCGTGTAGTCCGGCGTGAGTTGCATCAAGCATCTCGGTGCACATACATCAAATTTCCCTTTCCCACGAGATGCCATCGCTCCACTGTGTCGAGATATTTTGCCGGCGAAAAATTTGGTAGAAATGTTCTGGATTTTAGAATGCAAATCGGTCCACTGCTCAACGAACCAGCGGTCATCAACTTTACTGTTCAGCTGAGACTTGAATTGCATGAGTTCGTTGGTGACATTCTGGACATTCTTTTGGCTTTGCTGGAGGTCTTCCTGAAGCCTGATAATTTGCTGCGTCATGTTTGCAGCGTTGTTGACTTCTAAATCGCGGGAAGTGCGAAGGTCTTTTAGCTCCGCATTCAGGCCTTGGATACACATGTTCTTTTCTGTAACGATATGCTCAATCTCACTCTCGCGGGCTACCGCTCTATTGACCGCACTCTCATCCTCCCTGAGTTGCTCTTTCATGGCGGCAAGCCTGCTCTTCAAATCGATATTTGCTTGCTGCTCTTCTTTGAACCACCTCCAGTGCTTCCCAGATATCAATTTTTCGTCTTTGAGCTCTTCCTTAAGTCTCGTATTCTCTATGAGCACTAATTTCATTCTTTCTTGGAGGTCTTGAACATTCTGGAGATCCCCCAACTCTTCACGATAGACTGGGCAACCATTTCCATTTGGGATCGTTGGTGGATCTGTGGTTTGCCGCGACAGTGGCGCTAATTCTCCTAGCTTAGGCGTAGATTGAAGAGCTTTCCTAGGAGGAATTATAGTACCGGGTAACCCTATTGGTTCCGTCGTTTCGTCAACTTCGCTGTTGATCTTAAGTGGCGGAGGGAGCGAGGTTTCACCTTGCGGCCCATTCGATTCGTTAGTGTCTATTGTTCTCGCTGTATACTTGTTTTCCATCTCTAGCATCTCCATCCTGCTTAATTCATATCGATCATTCACCGGAGGTAGAATAGATTGTGCGGTGGGTGATCTAGCCAGAGCCGTCGGAGGTCCTTTAGGAGATGCTGGTGCTGTTAAAGGTCCATCCTGACTTTGTTGATTTGTGGTGTCTGCTTTCTGTCCATCTTTGTTGCGATGTTTGCCAGAGAAAGGGAAATCTTTCAAAGCACTGAACGAAAAGCTTTGAACCTTCTCCTTTTTCAAAACCTTTTTATCGTGTGGAGAGGCACCAGCTTCGGCCATCGCGATCCAGCTTCAATGCTGCGAGGGGAGGAAGAGAGAACTGGGGCTGGTAACCCGGCTGCAAATCCCAGAGCGAGATATGACGACGCGTCGATTCGACAACGGGACTGCGGCAGCCAGGATTTAGCAATGTTTGGAAAGATGAGTGCTGATCAGGTCTCGATGAACCGGAAGCGCTTAGGAGAACGATCATTGAGTCTAGACAATGATCTTCTGACACGAGGTCGCGGCTGAGACGCTGACAAAAGTCAGACTGGCGGGATTTTAGGTCTCAGCCGCAATACAATGCGAGTGCGATTAACTGCGATTGAGGGCGGGAGAAGCAGCTTTCTTTTCTTGGCGACCTACTCTGCAAGTTGTCTTGGGAAGCGCCCTGCAGCTGAGCAGACAAGCCATCATATCTCGACGGCATGATTCGATAGGCAACAGCCCATCAGGTGGCTGTTCGACAATTTCCCTGACTGCTTTCCAAGTTCGCGGAGAGAACCATAATGGGCGAGCAGGCTGAATCGACTGCGAGGGACCGATCGATGCATACGATCTTGGCGTGTGGCTGCCAAAAAACGCCACATCCGTCCAAATGGGGTCTCAATAGAGAGGATTGGATTAAACCGCCATGCACATAACGAGAGTTCGAATCGCAAACCTCGTAGCTGCTTGCCGAGAACTCCATTTTAGAACGGCCTAGCCGCACATAGGCTGCCTGAAACAACCTGGCCTTGTCTAGCAGCTGGAGACGGAACAGACGGAAGCACTGCATCCACTCTGCCATCTGCTAGCCACCCCTCCTGTGATTCATCGGCTAATTTTCACTGTTGAGCAGCGTTAATATACCTCCTAAAACCGAACATGAGCTGCTCACCGTGAGCATGTCGGAAGAACTTCAAGATCAACCCCTTGAGTACAGGGGGACTCCCCCACCTGTGACTAGGGGGCCTCCTCCACTTCCTCCTACAACACAGTCGGAACCTAATCTTCGCCGTCCGTCACCATATACGTATGTGACGTCGTCTCTGTCTAGCCATTCGCGCTTTTCTTCGGTAGCATCTCCTCGATCCTTAACGTCGTCCCGCACTTCATACAGTGCCGGCGAAGTTGAGCAAAATCATATCAACATTGGTATTGATTTTGGAACGACGTGAGCCAAAAACCCTTCAAAATGCAGGGAGAAGGAGCTAACAGGGCTCTAGCTATTCGGGTGTAGCCTGGGCTATCTCAGGTGCGCAAGAACCAGATATTAACGTTGTGACGACCTGGCCGAACGCACCGACCGAGAGCTGGAGCGTGAAAGTTCCAACTGAGATATGGTACAAGGAGGGAGAAGCATTCAAATGGGGATACTCTGTACCTCCGGAGGCGGAGCCGTTGAAATGGTTTAAGCTTCTTCTCATACCAGATGCAGAGATGCCTCAAAAGATTCGGGATGCGAAAGAGATCAGAACCACCAAACGACTTCTGCAAAAGCTAGGCAAGTCGCTTGAAGACGTTATCGCAGATTACCTTCAAAGGATATGGGAATGTGCATTGATTGACATAAAGCAGCAACAAGGGTCAAGCGCTGACAGTATGCCATTACGGATTATTATGACTGTTCCCGCGAGCTGGACAAAGGATGCACGGAATCAAATGAAGAGCGCTGCTATTAAAGCCGGCTTACTGAGTCGCCGGATCGGCGTCATGGACACCAAGTTCGAATTCGTGGGAGAGCCAGAGGCAGCAGCCCTTGCCGCGTTCTTCGACGGAAACGTTCGTCGATCAATGAATGTCAGTATTTCCACACTGGTGATTGGTGAAGATAGGCTCAGTAATGATAGGCTGGTGATATAATTACCATTTGCGATGCTGGTGGAGGAACGGTGGTAAGTTAGCAACCCCAGCCAAGTACGGTGCCTCACATTATATTTATTAGGACACTGTTACATACGAAATTGAGCGGATCTTGCCGAATGTACATCTTGGTGAATGCATAGCCGGTGACTGTAAGTGAGCGGTCTCGCTCGTGGATAGGCAGAGACTTACTGCGAATTCTAGCGGACTTGTGTGGGGCCACTGCTCTCGACGGTGGGTTCCAGGAACATATGGATGGAATGATGGGGAAGGACAAATTGAGCAAAATGACACCAAGAATATTCTCCGAGCTAATGTATATGTGGGAGCATAACATCAAGCGCCAATATCAGAATTCAACCTCGGAAATCGTCGCAAAGCTCCCTCACGAGGTAGCAAAAACGATAAAAAATCCTCTCAAGATATGGAAAAAAGGAAATGGTAGTAAACAGCTTGTAGGTGATGCAATGAGATATACATCGTAAGCTAGTCTTCCTAATCATACGAACCACGTGCTGACATGATGGGGACAACTAGGGCTGATATCAAGAAAATCTTTGATCCAGTGATGAGAGATATCCTAACTCTCACGAATCGACAGATTACTGAAACCTTGAGAAGGAAGAAAAAGAAACCGAAAGCGATTCTCTTGGTCGGTGGGCTTGGCTCGAATAAATTCCTGTACCAAAGGCTTCATGCCGAGTACTCCACTGGAGACGTGGATCTGATCCAGCCACAAGGCAACAAGGCGTATGACTTCGCAGGTTTACGGGGAGTGACATGGCTAACCAGATGATTAGGTGGGCGTCTATCTGTCGCGGTGCTGCAATAAAGGGAATGACCTTCGACAACTACGATGATGGCCAAGTCATGCCGGTCCCTATGGTGACGTCTTACATCTCAAAAGCACATTACGGCATTGTGTTCAAGGTGCCTTTCGACGCGTCGAAACATCCAGAGGAGGATAGGAGGTTTGATCAAGCCACAAACCAGGACCTAGCCTACAATCAGATGCAGTGGTACGTGTCAAAGGTACGCTCCAAACAAAGCTCAATGGGGTGACAGCAGGATGCTGAAGCAAACAGGGAGATGACGTGTCCCAAGGAAACCCAGTAATCCTATCATGGCAAAAGTTCCAGCCAGACTCCAGGCCATGCACCAGCCTCTCCGTAAAGATATTCGAGTGTGAGGCAAACAATGCACCCAATCGGATGACCAGCGAAGTTCAGGAGTGTGAGACTATCATTTTTCCGATTAACTGGGCTAGTCTGGCAGTGAGCGAGGGAGCAAATGGTCAACGCTTCCGGAGAGTTCAGTTTGACTTGAAAATGACGATGTTAGGGCTAGGCAAGTTGGATTTTGAAACCTTTGTAGACGGGAAGATGGTTGCACGACAGAACGTAAGAGTAAAGGTTGGAGATGGGGGGCTTTCCATGCATTGAAGAACGAAGGACAAAACGCAATATGTACGAAAATGAAGCAAGAGAGGGTAAAACGGTTACTTAGGCGTTTAGGTGAAAAGGAATGAAAGGAAGCTTGAAGTCAAACCAGATCAGGACCTCGGGATGTTTAGCGAGTTTAGTCTAGCCGAATGAGGCTAGTGTTATTTCGCACCTCACCCAAATAAACACAAACTCCAACCCCGTGTTCCCCCTCCCGTCAGGGCAACGTGTGAAGCATTCATATGGGTCATAGCTTACTTTAGCCTTCGCATAGAGTTAATTATCATTGATGGGCTAATTGAACCTCTAACTCACCTTCAGATTGTTGCCGCCTGGATCTAATCCTGGATCTAATTCACCTTCCGCTCTGAGTTTCAAGCAGCTGCACCCCACTTTTGGCGCTTAGTGCTTTGGAGGACACTTCTCACAGCCGGTGCCAGCTTCTACAATTGCAGGCATCCGCTTTACGTTAGCCAAGTATGACGTCATCGTTTTCCGCCAAGCCTAGCTCGACAACCGGCGACACGTCGCCTTCGCCTCTCAACTCGGGAAGCTCGATGAATCTACCCCCTATATAAAAGCCGGTCGGAAAAATAGGCTCGTACCTTATACGGAGCTCTTTGATGTGAGCAATCTTGACGATGATTGGAACATCGTGTCGACGGACAGTCTGCGATATCAGCTTGGGCTTGGCAACGGCCTATTCCACGTGGACTCTGTCTTTAACCCTACTGCGGGTTCACCAGCTGTCCCCAAAGAGCATAGGTGGTGCCACAACGTTTGCGGATACACAGACAGCGTATGAGGACTTAGATAGGGAGACGAAGGAGACGATTCAAAACTACGTGGCTGATCACTCGTTGTGGCATTCCCGGCGCCTGGCTGCCCCTGACTGCGAGTTCCTGAAGGGGATGTCCCCGAAGATCACTCTATGGGCCGCCACAACCTCGTTCAATCGCATGAACCGTCTAGCAGGACCAATCTCTACGTCGCCCACCATGCGCATCACATTGAAAGCTTAGGGAAGGAAGAATGCCAGGCATTGATTAGAGAATTGCTGAGATTCACGACACAGGACAAGTATGTGATTGAAGTTGAATGGAAGAGTAACGGCGACATCACCATTTGGGTAAGACATGCCGTCTCATATTCTGACACGACAACAGGCCAATTAAGAGATGTAGGACAACACGTGGGTCCTACACAAAGCCTGTCGTAGGTCTTTTGAGAGAAAATACGTCCGCGGCATGAGAAAGGCTACAGTCCACAACTCTTCGTCCAATGCTTGGGGTCTCCATTACAATTTTTAACTGGGTTCCCTCAGAAAAATATATCCTGTAGGGTACAAGAGATACTTTCGCCCAAGCAGCGTTACCCAGAAATTATGCCTTCTAAGCTCATATTAGTAGCTATTTCGAACCCACATTCCGGCGTTTATCGAAGCAATAAAACATGCACGAACATATACTGGAGCAATTCCTGTCGGTAGCATCGCCAAATAGTATCAAAATTATCGGCAGTGCCTGAATAACGCAAGCAGATTTCTCGCCCTTTCTCTTTTTTTTTCACATCATAACATCTTGAGTTTGTTTTTATCTCGAATTTCAATAAATCCAGATCCAAGGCGTATAGCCAGGAAAGTCTAATATCCAGCACAATATCTTTTTATTCAGTCACACCTTCCAGCTAACCCATTCGTTCAATTAGTTGCCTTGTGCACAGTCTCTCATTTTCATCTCTTGTTGAAGGATTGGCATCGTGAAAGCCCCTTTCATTGGGGCTCCTGCGGCTATAGGGCCTTAGTGTCGTGGATGCTCAAGGTGGTGGCAGGCCAGGTGTTAGCCGTCCTAGTGGTGGTACTAGCGGTGCAAGTCCCGGTGAAGGCCGGCCACGACCTACACTTAATGGTGGTGCCATAGGCCCTGCGGGGGAACCTCCTACCTGAATCTTGAAGAATTACTAGCCATAGCCAGTCTTACAGGTGCTATACCAAACTAAAACGATGATGTGACTAATAAGCCCAGAGCCCCTTAGCCTATTGTTGTCCCCTCTCCAGAGCCTATTTTACTAGCAAAGAACCTTTCTGCCTAATTTCACTATCCATGTTTCGCAACCGCTTTAGCATGATGAAAGGAGATGGAGCGAGGAGGTTGAGTGAGTTTAATCGGGGCGCATTGATGAAGAGAAAGGAATCTAAGTTGTTTCCATTTCCTTTCATTGTACATTTCCTTATAGCGTATATTTCCTTCCAGTGTTTGTTTCCTTTTGTTGTACATTTCCTATTCAATTTCATATTAAGACTACTTAAAGAACTCCTATGAGCCCCCACATGACGCATTGAAATAGTCCCCGCCCTTCTGACCCTTAGTTAACACCGAGCATCGACTCCCGAGACCATTGGCCGTGCGGTACCCAGGCTCGACGCCTTACCGACAGCTACAAGTTCTACGCAAAAGGCTCCTGTAGTTCTTGCCTGTGATCTAGACCTAGTGTCTGGTTCCTTGATCTCGTGCGCTAAGCCTCTCCAGCGGTAGAGCGACTTTCTGTGGCACTGAATGATGAGAATTCTGGCCATGCGGGGTTTTTATTTGCTGGTGCTCTTGACGCTCTTTAAAATAGCAACATCCCGGTGTCACGTTTGGGGTAATTCGCGAAGGCCCGATTGTTGGAGGCATTCACATTTCGACATGGTTTCAATTGGTAGTTTGGGGCGGCAAGACCAGTCATCAAACTTGAGGCTTCGGCGCAAGGATGCAGGGACGGACATATTGAATTGAGTTTCACTTGAATCTTAGCCATTCGGCGCAACTCTGTTGAGCTAGTTCACAGAGGAAGATTTATTGAGAACATTAGACGCACATATTGAGAGCAGTCATAGCACATTAGTGCCTCATCCAAAATACTGCGAGGAAGATTTGATCTTGTGTACCTGAAGCTGGAATCAGGAAACCGGCCGAGAGGATATCCTATGCTGTCCCAAATATCAGACCCCACTGTTTTCTATCCTACGTAGCTTTCGGGGGGGTTTCACATGTCTGCTCATGGCTATGCGTAAATCCATCGGGTTGCTTACAAGATATAGGAAACTCTAGGGCGTCACTGGTTCCGACTTCGGATATCAGCAACGAGGGTCGACACTATACCGTCGAATAGCGGGCATAGCGAACAGCTCCGATACTTGTCAACAAGCAGTTCATTCCCGGTTCCATTTGCTTCACTCTTCGCGGCGCTCATGTCTTCCCCTTCGATCACAGTACCTTCTGGATACACTGGCCTTGTTCCTTCTTCGATTAACTGCACAAATGCAGGATCAATCGGCACGCTTCCTAGAAAAGGCACCTCGAAATCCCGTGCCATGACCTCCCCACCTCCCTTGCTGAACACGTTTGTACATTCGCTACAATTGGGACACACGAAGCCCGCCATATTCTCTACTACGCCAAGTACCCTTATCCCCGTCTTCCTGCAGAAATTGAGCTCTTTTTTGACATCAGATATGGAAATGGCTTGGGGCGTTGTGACGACAACAGCACCTGAGAGTTGGTTCGGAGGAGATGTAGGAGACGAAGTCTGCTTGAGCAGAGTCTCAAGGAGCGAAATATGCTCGTCGGATGTGCCAGGCGGGGTATCGATGAGGAGGAAGTCGAGTCTTGGCCAGAGCACATCAGTAAGGAATTGGCGGACCATGGCTGTCTTCTTTGGCCCGCGCCATATCACAGCATCGCTTCTTGAAGCCAGTATGAAGCCAAGCGACATGCATGATAGTGCTCCTACATCCTTGTGTGCTGCGTGGCCATTCGTGGTGCCATGCTGGGGTAGAGGCTGCGCATCGTGTACAGTGACTGGTATCCAACCACCAGGCGCTTGTCGTACTTTTGCACCTTCTATACCAAAAAAGCGTGGTATGGAAGGGCCGGTGAGGTCGATATCGAGAACGCCGACAGAATGGCCTTGCAGGGAGAGCGTGAGGGCGAGTTGGGTCGTGATGCTGGACTTGCCCACCCCGCCTTTGCCGGATAGGACCAGGACAATGTTTTGGATGTTTTGGAGCGGCATGGCAGGACCGTATCAATCAGGAGCGCGCTCATGAGAGAGTGAAAGAAGCGAAGAGAGGTGAGACCAGTAGACAGTCATGGTGGAGGTGCAGGTTATGCCGTAGATTTGAAATCCATGAAAGTGGCGCCCGGAGAGCGGAGAGACGATTTTCCGCCATAATATCTTGGCGCCAAGTCAAGTTCACGTCACAACTGACTAATGCTTAACAATCTCCATCATCAAATATTACACTATCTCTACCGCCAAGCCCTCTCTCCTATTGGTCCGGATATAAGCCGGCTATTAATTTAATTAGTAGAAAATTAGTAACTAAAAAGCCGCGTTACTGTTTGTTTTTAAGCTTTAAGTAATTATTCTGCTATGCTACATGCTTAATCTAGTCTTCTTTTTTTCCTATTGTAATTAACTACTGCACAGTTAGGGGTGTAAAAATTACTTTTACAGTGTAATTTTTCCTACTAAATGTAATTAGCTTTGCTAAGACCTTCTAAGTAAAGCCTGCTGCAGGCAAAAAGAGGGTTCTAGAGGATCTCCCCCTAGTTAAGCAAAACAGTAGTGCAACTTTAGGCTTTAGCTCTATATTTGCTCTAACCTGTTCTAATCTTTTCTAACTAGACATTATCTGCTTTAATACTTTTATAGCTTTAGTTAACTTTACTTTATAATAATAATAAGTTATAGTAAGCTACTATATTATAGCTATTTGCAATGTACGTAAGTGTATTAGGTTATCCTATGTTATTTACTAACCTTTATAAAAGATTATAAAGGCCTTAAGATTACACCTAATATAATATTAGCCTAATATAAAACACTTTTAACTGTTTTCTTTTTTTTTTAAGCTATAAAGCTATACTAATTATATTAAAATTAAGAGCATATTTGCATACTATAAACTATTACATAGGGGGTAAAAGCTTAGAGGTGTTTTATTACTTAGAATAATAAGTTTAGATAGCTTAAATTTTTCTTTATATAAAATTTTTTCTTAAAGGTTTTTAGCCTAATTAAGTCTTTTTTTAAACTTAATAAGAACACTGTTTTAGAAAGGGTTATACTTCTAGAAACCCTAAAAAAATAAATTTATTTAGTGTAGTATAGGCCTTACTACGCCTTATTTTAACAGGCAGAATTTTAATTTACTTAAAGTTAATCTATTCCTAATCTACTTTAACTTTTTTTAATTAGTACCTTCCTTTTTTAACCTGTCCTCCTTTTCTTATTATATAGTGTTATCCCTTTATATTATTGCTATATAGACTTATTGCCTACTTTCTGCTTAGTCTATAATAACTATAGACCCCTTTCTAACTTCCTTACTAATAAAGTTAGAGCTCTCTATTACTAGTGCAATAGACATAGCTATGTAGTATGTTACTTTATTATAATTATTATATTTTTTAGCACTTATATCTAGTTCTATCTAGGCGTGTTAGCTATTAGTTAATGTTAACTTTAATGCATAACTCTTAAAACATGTTTAAGCTTGCGCTACTATAGTCTAATTAGGTCTATGCTAGAGCTAACCTGCATATGCTAGGCGTAACACTGCATTAAGTAAAACACTAGTGCTTAATTAATTATTTTATATATATTAAGACCCTTTTAAGACTTTTACACTTTTTTTTACTTCTCTTACGCTATCTATCTAGATTTATTATAATATATAATTAACCTTTTTTAAGTTCTTTACGCTAACTTCTACTCCTCTTACACTGTCTATATATATACATTATTATAATATATAGCTAACTTTATAAAGACTTGTCTAATTTCTACTTTTTTAACATACTCTAGATTAGCCTGCCCTATTCTTATCTATGCGTAGAGATTAAGAGTAACTAAGGGCTAGTCTTTTATAAGATAATTTACTAAAGGCATATATTATTACTACTATAGACTATATTACTTTTATTAACTTTAGTCTAATGTAGAATTCTATAAGTAGCTGTTTTAACTGCAGTGCCTTTTACTAGCCTAAAAAGCAAGTTAATAAGAGTTAGGTAAATTCTCTTTAGTACTTTATATATTGCCTAATAGGTAATATTAACCTTCTAACCTTTCTAAATTTACCTTTATTCCTGTGTTATTTTTTACAGGGTAGGCACCTACTTAGCAGATCCTTTTAGAAGCATTTTTAATTATATAATGTAGCCTTAGCTTTTATGTTAGCTAACTATAAATAAACAGATTAAAGTGTGTGTAGCATAGGCGTAAAGGTTTTTTAGATTATAAAAGAGATGTACTATATGCATAGCCTATTAGAGCCTGCTAAGAGGGATGTCTTCTTCTACACATAGCTATACTTTTACAATCCTGCCTAGGCTAATAGTGCGCGTATAAGGCATTAGGCTAATAGTGGTCTTAATCTAACTATACTTACGCAGCTGCTATAGATAGTTAAGACAGATTATAATAATCCTTAGATTAAAATATATAAAACTACATATAAGCAGTTGCAGCAAGCTTATAAGTAAAATAAGAAATTATAAATTACTTTTAATCTATAACTACAGTTAATTATGCAGGCTAGAGCTAATTAACATTAAGAGAACCTGCCTGTTACTAAGAAAATTACTACTCTAGTCTATAATAAGCTAGTTAAAAATTATAACTAAAATTTTATTTTTTACTACTAACCTAGCCCTAATCTAAGACACTATTAGTCTCTATACTAAAAGATTAAACATACACATGCAGCATATTAGCCTCTCTACTACATTTTAATGTTCTTATAGGGTACCCTTAGGTTTTACTATAGTTTATAGCTGCGTACTTCACGCATGTCTTACACCTAGAATACTCTAACTAATTTTAAGTATTACTAATTCTACCTATTTCCCTAGCGTAGTAGTTTTATTATGCCTTTTAATTATAGTCTATTATTCTAGTAATTTATTGTTAACTGCTAGGCTTAGTGTAAATAAAGAAAGTTATAGTAGATTATAGTAAATTAGGGACAGTTACATGCTAATCTATATTAAGGAGTGTGTAATGCATTAGATTAGAACAACTTTTAGGCTAATTTAGTTAAAATTTAGACTGTTCTTTCTTTAAGTTACATTAGCAGCAGTTGCTTTATTACATAGTGTTATTAAAACTTTATAGCTATTATTTAAAAGCTTAGTTAACCTACTTTATTTATTACTTTTACTGCTAATCCTAAATAGCTAGAGTTAGAGCAGGAGATTAGTACATCCTTTTAGCTATTAGATTAGCTAGATCTAGTTGCGCGCGTTTTTAAGCTGCGTCTTAACTCCCTCCTTGCAGACCTCTAGACTAACTATGTATTTAGCTAGTATACTAGTATTATGTATACTATTAAGTACTAGAAGTAGAGTTTGCTTTATGCTTATATTTTACTCTTTTTATGTTATAATTACTATAATTAGTTCCTTAATCTAAACTTTATTAATTAAGTTATATAAGCTAAGCTCTTTATAAAGGCTTAAAATTTAAATAAAGTTCTAAGTAACATTATTAAAACTACTATAGTTTATAGGCTATGTAGAACCTTAAATCCCAGCATGCCCTGTATGCAGACTACAGAGCGTTCTCTCTAAGCAACCTGTTAGAAGCAATTCTTAAAGGAATACGCTAATAAGACTCTAGTTAGTAGAGATAGTTATTTTATATATTAGTGTTAACCTAGTTTAACTTAGGTTATAAAGTGTTATAGTTAGAACATTATAGTTAATAATTACTAAGTAGTGCCTTATAGTCTATACCTTTTACATAAGTACAACACACATGTTAATATAAAAGTCTGTGCCTTTATAAAGTTAGTTAAATATATACATAAGTATATCTATAAGGGCACTAATTAGGTTGTTATCTGTATCTAGTAAGGGGACAAGGTTGCCTAGTATCTAAACATGCGCTATATTAGACTAACTAAGGCTGTTTAGCAATTAATAAAGTTTAAAGTTTATAAGAAAAAGCCTTCTATTATTTAATTAGCAGTGCATTTACTAGGACAGCATATAGTTACTTTTTATAATAAGGACAGTGCTAAACAGGTAGAGATTGCAGTTAAATAGAAAAGATTATTATTAATAAAATAGTTAAAGTATAATGCCTTTTATATAGATAAGTGTGATCTTCTTTACTAGGACTTTTTAACTTAGTATTATTAGAATCTAGAGAAAGACAGTAGTAAATAAACTTAGTTCTAACATAATTAGTACTCTATTAATTGCGTCTACTTCTGCAGTTCTTCCTTTAAGAAGCGTTTTTATCTTAAGATGCTTTTTACGCAAATCTTAAGTGTAATTAGTTTTAAATATTTTTATATAGTTAATAGTTAGATCTAACCTACTTTTAAGAACACCTATTTAGCTCTTAATCTCTTAGTTAAGGATAGATTATAGTAGTATATATTTCTTAAGCTTTAGCATTTAGCACTTACTTTTAAGTTACATTACGTCTTTCTCTAGGCCCTAGTCTTTAGGAATGTAAGTAATTTTATAGTGTTATAAGATAAGTTCTTCTAACATCTATCTAACAACCTGCCCCTCTACTTAGAATAAATAGTGTTGCCCCCTAGTATTACTAATTTTATAAAAGATCTATGCCTGTAGCTAATTAACTAAGCTATGCTTAAGTTATTTAGAAAGAACCTTTCTAATTTTAACATGCTTATGCTATAAAGATATTAGGTGTAAGAGGCTGTTAATCTATTAGTTGCTAAGCAGCTTAATTACAACACTATAAAGCAGAATCTTAATTATACTAATGTGTATAATAAGCTAAATAAGGCCTAACTAGAAGTTTTTTATGCTATTACTTAGTCTATTTTTACTACACTATAATTTAGTTGCTACTTTATTTAGGGCCCTAGCAAAACTAGAAAGACCTTTTTATATAAGACTATTTACACTTATCTTTAGACCTAACACAAGATTGTTTTGTGCGTAGCATTATCTAGCATTACTGCGCTTCTTCTTCCTAGCAGCTGCACTGCTTATTATTAGTTTAAGATACCTATTAATATTAAAAACAGATCTACCTGCTTTATGTGTGCAGACTCTCCTGCTGTAGACCTTATTTATTAGACAGATTTAATTATATAGGATAAAGTTCTAATATAGCACTAGTACTGCTTTAAAGT